GCCGTAATATCGAGTAATCAAGTTCATAAAGTAGAATAATGTGGTTCAGCTTCTTCTTCTTTTTTTTCTTCTTTTTTTTTGGCATTAGGGCGACAGCAAATTCGAACGTCATTATGGTTCAACATCCTTTAATATTTCTAAGAGAACAGTGTTTTTTTCTCTCCTTATATCCTATAATATGCATTCGAAATCTAAATACTAGCGCAGTCTATTCAAGAATGTTATGTTAAGATATACTTAACAACAAAATTTTCTTAGCTTCATAATCAAAGCAAAAACAAGTAAATAAAAAATGTAAAAAAATGTCAATTGTCAGCTTCAAATGTCAATTGTCAGGATTCATCGACGAAGATTAAAAAGAGGTGGGTTTCAACGGAGAAAAGCACGCAAAGAAAACAGATTAATTAATCTGTATTTTTCAATTCATTGAAATTTCGCATCCTCTGAACTTCTTAATCAATCTATTCTTTTCGTAAATATTGAGTATGCTTTAAACACCTACTCTTTACGTTCTGAAATAATATACTTTATCTTTTCATTGTTGGTAAACAATTTTTTTTGTTTATTGGGTTTGAAGTGTTTATATATTTCCCTTTAATAAAACAACTACTCTTGGACCTCCATGGTTTTTAGTAGCCCCTGTAAAAAACTCCACATCAAATTACGCTTGAAAGCAATGGCACCAGCATCCGCAAAATCAATTTGCCGTAAAATTTTATATCGCAATTTTTAATAAATTACAGTATTTCAGTAATTTTGCTGTATATATTTCTGTAAACCGTAGTTTTTACATTAATGTTTATTTTATTACAGTAATTCAGTAGTTTGTATTAAATAATTTAGTGAAAGTTACGGCTAATAAGATTTTATGCTCTGTAAAATTTTACTTTAGCTTAAAATTTTGTCTAATGGGTTTTACAGTAAAACGTACTGGCACAGAGTGCCGGTACTTTTTACATTGTAGTAACAACCAATAATAGTTATTCTTCATAATTTCGTGAAAGAAATTCCACATTAAAAGAGATAACAGTTTAGAATAGAATCTTAACTTCTCGCAAACATAATTGTTAATCTATAGAATCAATAACAGAACTTGTGTCTTGAACATCAGGAATTGTATTGATATAGCAAAAAGAAAATACTGTTTTGTACAAACCTGAAAATAATGTTTGCTTAGGTTATATTTTCAACAGCAAAATATATAGAATCAAATGCTTATCGTAACTATCATATTTAACTTTTATATGCATTCTTACTGATTTAATATAGTTCATTAGAGAGATTTAAAATTCCGAAAATACATTCCAATCTAACTAAAATTTATTTGAACGTTCTGTAGTAATTTACAAATCTGTGTCGTGATAGTTTAGAGAGTCGAGGTGAATAATTAAATGATAGAAGATAATCTATTTTAACACTTAGGCTCCAATATATAATTAAAGCGTTCATTTAGTTAAAGCAGTTGAAACTGAAATGTTATTATCAAAATCTTACTAAAAGTGCTAAAATATGGATAATCATTAAAGAAAGAACACGACTGCTTAAAATTTAATTACGTTCTTTGGATGAAATTGAATTAAGTTAACAGAGTTCGCACTCAATTTAGTACTAACGATACTTGATTGTAAAGTTATCTACCTGTACATACTTAGATCTTGGATGAGTTATTTTACCTCATTTGTATTTCACAAACATACTTTCTCTTTTAAATATAATTAGAACAGTTTTTGAATTCAAATTATACCAGTTTTGAAAGAGCTTTGTATAGTTTTCTGAATATTCTAAGATATCTTTACTCCGAGAGCTTTTTATATTATCTTTAGAATAGGTGAAATAATTGCTCCGCTGAAAAGAATTTTCGGTTGCTGTTTTTTATTGCGAAACATTATTAACTTAGAATATATTTCAGTAAGTTCAGAATTGTTTAACTTATTTAAAACATTTAATTAAATGATGATAAATTTCCAAATAGTCATTAAATAAGTTTTAACAAAGAGCAATTATTAATTTATGTCGGACTTTTTTTTAGTTTATAAATTTTTTATAGTTCATAAGGTAATTTTTAAATTAGCCAGCTATTATAAACGATTAAAATATTCAAAGCACACACGACTGTTTCATGTTATCGTGAAAAACTTAAAACTATTAAGTAAAATGGATGAATTAAAAATTCTATTTATTTCATTTTTCTAAATAATTTGATGTTTTAATGACAAAATTTGCTATAATTTAATAATGAAAATGTGTTATAAGATTGTAACTTAATAATAAATTGAGATACGTTCCATATATATATATA